ACAAAAGCGCTGTGGCTTTCCAAGGCTGCAGTGAGTCAGTGCTAGAATCAGCAGTATGATACTGAAATAGTGACCACCCCTATGCAATCCTTCCTTTCTCCTCACCTAGTCAAAAAGGCTACCTCTGACAAACCAGCTATGAACAGATAAGTTTCTGTCACTTAAATTATTAAATCATAGTGAAAAACCCAACTCTGTGTTTAGGAAGTATGAGCTTTTCCAAATAAATAGGCAGAGCTATTCATATTCCTTTTTCTCTTTGTGTTTAATTTTTTTTTAATATATCCATAGTCGCAAAAAAAAAAAAGAAACTCAGTGATCCTTCTGCTTTCTGAAGCTTTAATAGCCTCAGCTCTGCAAAATTCAGTTTTCTAACAGGATTTTGGTCTTGGTGCAGGTCAGTCCTGAACATGAAAAGTAATTATTGTAATAACAAAATACAGGGCTGTTAAGAGAAGGGAGATTTGCAATAATAAGATTATGGAAAACTTCTATTACAGACTTTGTATTTCTGGGATATTCCTGAATGAATGCCATCTGCTTGGTGATCATAAGGAACGTAATCATATTGAATCTTTCCACTTTTGAGCAAAGCTAGGTTGAGATTACCAAGAAAAGGCTATATTTTGGTATAATTCAGTGCATTTGCCCTTAACTAAATACATCTGAGCGTTCCTCACAGCCTGGAATTATGTGTTTTTACCTAAGGGGCCTATTTATTTCTACCTGTAAACTACATGTAAAAATATATTTACACTCTCTTCTAAATCACTGGAGAGAAATTAGCAATTTATTCTCTAGAATTCAAAAGCCTGGCTGTTAGACCAGAGGGAAAAAGTACACAGCAGTACCATGTGTGAAAAGTAAACTTTTAACTGAAATGTGCAAGTCTGAAGTAAAAAAAAAAAAAAAAAAAAAAAAAAAAAAAAAAAAAAAAAAAAAAAAAAAATCCAGCAAAGGCTTAGCCATTTGAGGGAAACAGAGGGAAATGCTTATGGAAAAAACCCCTTTTTTAATGTGTAGGTTGTAGTCCAGGAGTTTGTAGGGTTTTTATTTTAAGACAAAGAAATAATTGCCCATGAAGACAGAGGAAACACGGGTGAACAATGGAATCAGACACAACAGAAACTATTCCAAGGGCAACAAAGCAGTTTTTGCTCTGAGTGAAAGGCACCAGGGAGCTTCTTAATGTTTTTGTGTTAAGGGAAGACGCTGCGTGGGCAGTAAACAGGGACATTTGTCCCAACACCCTCCTCTCCCCGTGATACCTTCTGACTCCAGTTCCCAGGATTTCTATTCCCCAACAGCCTTTCTGCCTCTAAATGAGAATTGCTGTAGATTACTTGAAGACACTGAATATCAGTGTAATTTCTTTTCGCAGGATAAAGTCTTTAAACAATTGTGAGACTGGCTAATGCAGGTGAAAATAAGACACTGTTGCAGCATTATCTGCAGCCATGTGGGTGAGCAGTTGCTGTACAAACACACCCAGCACGAGAGAACAGCCCTGTGCAGCAGGGATCAGGCTGCTCCCGACACCCGGCTCAGCTACTGCTCCTCTGCACAACCTGGACAGAAGCAGCTAAAGTGTGTATTTCAATGCCACAGCCCAGCTGTCCATATATTTCAGTGCTTACTTTTTAGATTGCTTCCATGATATTCTATTTTAAATCCTGATTCCTATTTATTCTATTTTAAATCCTGCAAAAACTGAAGTACACTGTGTGCTGGTTTCCTTTAACAGGATATAATGCCAACCAAGCACTGGAGTGTCTCACACGCAGGGAATTATGTGTGAGCTTTAATGTTTAAAATAGTCAGACTCTGTGAGACTGAGTGTGTCTGCATTTTATTTTCTTCAGCTATCTTTGGTGAGGATTAATGAATGAATGGTCATAAAGTGCTCTAAAATCCTACGAAAGCATACTAAGAGCACACACACTTAACTACTGTGAGCAAAGGATAATGTTTAAAGCTTACCTGGAATTTCACTCCAGCTATAGATGGATGAGTCATTGTCACAGAAAATGTTAACAGTTTCAATTAAGAAACAGAAAAACATTAGAGAAGTTAAGCAAATACTTGATGACTGACAAGGAAAAGTATCTTTGTGGTAAATGAGCTGAGAAAAACTGTTTGCCCAGACTAAACCTCAGAATTTTTCTGCAAATATGGTTTATTTTCCACGGGGCTTTACAAAAACAAAACCCCTCCACAACATCAGCCAGCCATAAAAATGGTAAATGTAAATAATTGTATCTACATTACTGAGCTCTGCAACTGTATTTACAAATCTAATTATTCACAAGTCTTTTGCAGACATAAAACATTTTCAAGCAGGTCTATGTGCTAAACCAGAGTAGCATAGACCCTTACTTTTTTTTTTTTTTTTTTTGCTACATTAAAAAAATCCCACTTTCCCAACAGTATTGTTTTCACTGTCTGCACACTTGAACTTGTTCCAAACTTGCCTACCTCATAAACAGATGATTTTCAGACCTGCCCACTGCAAACACACACACCTGTGTATTGAAGTGTACATTTCCCACTCAGGGAGCTGCAAACACACCTTGCTCCCACACAGCTTGAGATGTGAGCACACGTGTGTATATATATAGTAAGTACATGCTTGTTTGGGCAGAACAAAAGTGAAACAAAACAAAGTGTCTGGAAAATATTAAGGGCAAAAAGAACTTTTCTCCACAAAAAGTATTTTATAACAACAAACATACCAATGAAATGGTACAAAATCTTCCTTTGAGATTTAACTCTATGATCCAGATGTTTCCTAGTCTGCCAGCATTTAGGATTTACTTTCTAATAGTAAGTTAGAAAAGAAAAATTAACCAGGAATCTATAAAATTTAGAAATTTGCCGTGATTTCTGATGTGAAGAGAACTGTTGATAGTTTTTTGGGATGTCTTTGGCATTCCTTCCCCTTGATCTCACAACATTCTAGGGAGGCAAACCACGAGGCAGCTAGGATCGAGATGGAAATACCAGGTGCTAATTAACAGCCTGGGAACAATTAGAAGATGCCAATCAGTACAGAAACACACCACCATCAGCCTCGATGCCCGTGGGGCAGTGGCCAACTTCACCAGAATCCCAGAACATTATTCCGAGTAGGAAGAGACCCACAGGGCTCACGGAGCCCAGCCCCTGCGCGAGTGGCGCATACGAGGATCGAACCCGCGAGCAGTGCCAGGTGCGCCCAGGACACCGCCCGGCCCGGGCACTCCGAGACTGCGCTGCGCCTCCCGCCGGGCCCGGGACGAGCTCCCCGCCCTGCCCGTGCAGGGATCGGCCGGGAAACGCGCTTTCGGCTTCTCCCCCTCGGGCTGAGGGAGGTGCCGGACCCAGCTGGAAGTACGGGCGGGCCCCTGCTTCCCACCGGCGGGGGGACGCGGCCGCCTCGCTGCCCGCCAGCCCCCGGGGCCGGGCGGGGCGGCCTCTCCACCCGGTTCCCCGTCGGAGAGGGGAAGGCGGCTCTGGGGGCACAGCCGGCCCAGCGACACGCGTGGCCGCCACAGCGTTTTCCTTCAGCGCGGCTCTAGGAGCGCACGGACACGAGAGGCCGTGACAGGGCCCCGGCCGTGGCTGGGACCAGATTCGCTCAGGCCCGTGCTGGGCTCCCTCAGGCCGGGGCCGTGACCGAGCTGGGGCCGGGGCCGCGCTCCCTCAGGCCGGGGCCGTGATCGGGCTGGGGCCGGGGCCGCGCTCCCTCAGGCCGGGGCCGTGGCGGGACTGGAGCGAGCCCCCCCCCCCA